ATAGCGTCCGATCGCTCCTGGTAGCGATGCCAGGAGCCCCTAGTAGCGTCTGATCGCTCCTATTAGCGAACATGTTCCCAAAGCTGGTTTTAGTGCCTTAGCCAAAGGGAGATCAGATTTTGCCGGTTCCTCTCGTTGACTCCACGACTTCACCTGGTGCAATCTCACCATCTCAAGTTACTCGTGAAACCCGATTCACGATGCACATTAGCTCTGAGGTTGGAGGCCATCGAAAGTAGGTTTTGAGGCCGTCGCTGATAGAAACAAAGAAAAAAGGAACAGGAACAAAGGTCTAAGAATTATAGGTTGCTGCTAGTAACAAAGGGCATCGCTACTAGGAGCAAGAAGCTACTAGTAGCTCCTGGCATTACTACTAGGAGCATTCTTACTACTAGTAACAAGAAGCTACTAGTTTACTAATTATGCACTATGATTGTTCATCTTCAAGCTGGGAGAAGCTCAACGGCTTGTTGTGGGCAAGGTGGTGGAGGAGTGCCGAGATGAAGGCGCAGTGCTGCCGAAAACCGTTTCAAGATGGTTCCAGCGGCTAGAGTGTGCCGCGCCGGAAATGTGTGTGCGGCTGTTCTTTGCGGAACACTCACTTGACTTCATTCGATCAACTCTAAAGTTTGCCAAGGATTTGGGAAGACCTATTTGATAAAACCTATTTGACTTCCTACTCTTTCTCCCCTTTCTTTTGTTTCCCTTCCGTTTAAAGTTCTTTGTGTTCAACGTCGCTTCTGTTCTTTAGACTTTTGGACCTTCTTTTTCCTTGTTACTAGCGATGGCTTCCAACCTAGTCGCTTCCTTGTTCCTAGTAGCGTCCTTGTTACTACTAGTAAGGCACTTGTTACTAGAAGCGATGCACTTGTTACTAGTAGCTTCTTGCTACTAGTAGAAATGCCCTTGTTACGAGTAGCTTCTTGTTCCTAGTAGTAAGGCCAGGAGCCCCTAGTAGCGTCCTTGCTCCTAGTAGCGATGCCCCCTCTTTTCCTGTTGAGTGGCTGAATAGGTTGTAGCAGCATTCGTAGCATGAATCACCGCCGACACCCTGCATAACATGTAATCTGATGGAGTGCTCGGGCAGGTGCACATATGTCAGCAATCTCATTTGGAATCCAGTAGAGTAGACCTTGGCAAACTGAAGAGTCACAGAACGATTGACACCAAGAAAGAAAGAAAGTTAAGTTTCCCTCAAAAACATCTATAGGAACTAAATCATTAGTGCGAGCGCTTCTTCAAGGACATTCCCCACCGCCCTCAGACGGGGGGAGCTTCCTTGAAGAAGTATGAGCTATCCTGCCATCCTAACTGGTAGCTACTTAAGCTACTAGGAACAAGTGCATCGCTACTAGTAACAAGTGCCTTACTAGTAGTAACAAGAAGCTAGTAGAAACAATATATAGCATCCATTAGACTGTGCACCCTCAGCTTATGACACAAAGGGTTTCCTGTCCAGGCCGTCTCTGAGAAGTGTTCGATCCATGCTGGATGCCAGACGTGGGGTGCCCGGTCCGGTCATGGTCAAACGACGCTTCCGACCTGGCCGAAGGTCCGAAGGGTAGGGATGGCCTCCAACCTAGTAGCCTTCTTGCTCCTAGTAGCGATGCCAGGAGCCCCTAGTAGCGTCCTTGCTCCTAGTAGTAAGGCCAGGAGCCCCTAGTAGCTTCTTGTTCCTAATGGCGATGGCCTCCACCCAGTAGCGATGGCCTTCAACCGAATAGCAAACTATGTTCCGAGAACCAAAAAAGACATGAGAAACCGACTTTTTCGCAGTTCTCTGCTCTTTTTTTAATTTATTGTTTCTAATAGCTTCTTGTTACTTGTTGCGATGCCCTTTGCTCCTTAGCTTCTTGTTCCTAGTAGTAAGGCCACGCCGGCCTGGATCGTGAGCTTCGGCCGTGCTTCGGCCGTCGACTCGAGGATTGAGTGCGATCTTCTTTGTAGCAGGCAGGGCCCGCATGCCTGCGGGGTGCAGAAATGTGAGTAGAGAGAGAGAGAGAGCTGGGCAATGTGGCAAGACATTGAGTTGGAAAGTCGTGGACTTTCAAGGCGTTCATTTATTCATTTATTTGCCAAGCTGGTGATGCTCCTGAACATTGACAGTCGCGGTATTCTGTTTGATTCTCTCTTGTCTTCGCAAACATTGAGGACATTGATTAGATCTATAGTTGAATATGCAATTTTGGGCACGCGTTTGTCTGCTTGTTTTCTTGTCTTCTTCCATGTACCATGGATAAACGTCGAAACTCACGGCATGGGTGCCTCAGGTGTGACGCCAAGTCATGCGAGGTCGACAAGGCACGACCGGTGGACGGTGATCGGTCTGACTCCGTCGTCGCCCTTTGCTAATTTGAATTCTAACTAGTAAGAATGCTACTAGTAACAAGTGCCTTACTAGTAGTAACAAGAAGATATAGAATTAAATTACTAATGTTTGTTTCTACTAGCTTCTTGTTACTAGTAGTAAGGCCCTTGCTCCTAGTAGCGATGCCAGGAGCCCCTAGTAGCGTCCTAGTCTGTCAGACTCCGTCGTCGCCCAGACTCCGCGTGCGTCGTGAAACACGTCGTCGCGAAGCATCTGCAGATGAAGGGGGAGTTGCTGACAGAGCAGTCGCACCGGGCTCAGTTCAGTCCCTTCGGTTCTCTCGAAGTCTATTTTCGTAGGTTGACTGCTTTGGTTGGTGTGCAGAGCCTCCATTTGATTCACAGCATGATGAGACGTGACAACGCAATGACTTCGAAGGCAAACACGTGACCAGTTTTGGGGGGTCGCTGGTCGTGACAAGGCCCACACTTTCAATCAAACTCAGGAAGTGTTCCGACTTCCAAAAAGAGGCAAAGTGCGATTCTGTCCGAAAGTGCTGGAAGGAGATGAAAATGAGCTTCTTGTTCCTAAGAGCGATGGCCCTCCACCCTAGAAGCGATGGCCTCCAACCTAATGGGGAACTTTTTTGTTTTCCAACATTCCAGAGCAAATTACAGTAGATCATTAGGACCTGGACTAGCTGAAACGCACACAGTCCGGAAGGAGCCCATAGGAGCCCCTTCGATCAATACATCCCAAACACAGTGTCCCAACCAAATCAGCAATGGGCAGAGTGTTGCAGATCGCGAGGCACAAGAGGCGCGCAGTCAGTTGACGGCCGCACGGGAGCGCCTGGTGGAGTCCCATGGCCGAAGTTGGAGGTTTGAGGATTGAGCAATGCACTCATAAATAGCTGAAAAGGAACACATGTCTTTGCGTTGCTTTTCTTAGATACAACCATGATAGAAACAAGAAGCTACTAGTAACAGGTGCATCGCTAGTAGTAACAAGTGCCTTACTAGTAGTAACAAGAAGCTACTAGGAACTTGTGCTTTTCTTAGATACAACCATGATACTTTAGGAAGTCGGATCGCGGGAGATCGCTGGAAAAGCCTCAATGGGGTGAACGGTGACGGTCGTACGGCCATGACGGTGCGATTGATCGATCAACAACTCCACCACAAGGCTTGCATCCAATGAGAAACCGTTTAACAAAAACAAGTGTGTTACTAGTAGTAACAAGAAGCTATTAGAAACAATAAATTAGAATTAAATGAAATTAGAATTAGAATTTAATCGTTTAACGATCCGATTTTCTACGGTGATTGCTCCGTTCGTAGCGATGCCCTTTGCGCCGTTCGTAGCGTCCTCTTGCTCCTAGTAGTAAGGCCAGGAGCCCCTAGTAGCGTCCATGCTCCTAGTAGCGATGCCCTTTGCTCCTAGTAGCGATGTCTTAGCCAACTTATGGACCCGAACAATGCAAAACTGCCATCGAAAGCAAATCTCACTTCTGAGGCTGGGGAGTGAGGCACGGGAGCAGAAGCTGCAGAACGACGTGCAGGCGCAACATCACTAGTTCCTTTTGCGCACCACACGACGCTAGGCACCGATCCATTTTCGATGCTGCGATTCACGCAACGATTCATGTCAAAGACGCAAGTACGCCGGACGCGAATTGCTCGGAACGCCCGAACGTCCGTTTGGGGTTCCCATCCGAACGCCCAGGTTAAGGGCCTTCAGTGGCCAACGGGTCATTGAGTCAAAAAAGCCCTTTACACCTAAGAGCGATGGCCACCACCCTATGAGCACCGCGGTGAGGTGAAGCGCTTGGAACGCGCCCTGAAGGAGTGGAACGCCTCGGAGACCGAGCGACGCCGAGCCGAGTGCTCGGTGCGCGTGCTGGAGCAGGAGACGGGACCGGCGAAAAAACACAGACACCACACCATTGATTTTCTTGGAAATCTCAACAAGAGCAACAGGAGCATGTTCGCTACTAGGGGCTTGAGACACAAAGAACAACAAAAGGGTCTCAAGAGTCTCGGAGAGAACATGTTGCTAGACTCAGAGTCCAAGACCAACGAAAGACATCCAAAATGAGACGTCAGTGCACATAGTTATTAGGTGCTCATACAGTTATATGCATCCATCATCTTAATCCATGGAATTCATTATATAAGCAAAATAAGATAAACCTCGTAATCTTAATCCTTTGTCCAACCCCTTTAATCTTTATTATCTTCTTAATTAAGATTGATTTTCTTATACTGTTCCTCACTCAATCTTTCTCTCCTTCCAGGAGCTGGAACGCCTCCGCAAGGAGCTCAGCCAGACGATGCTGCCCGAGGCACTGCCGGCGGCGCTGCCGGCCACGCCACCGCGGCCGATGCCAAAGCGGGTGACGCTGGACGGCGCGGTGCTGGACAAGGCGCGCACGGTGGCGTCCGAGGGGAAGTGGTTTGGTTAAAGGGCTACTTAGAAGCTACTAGGGGCTCCTGGCCGTACTACTAGGAGCAAGAAGCTATTAGGTAGTAGCTGTTAGGTTAAAGGGCTACTTAGAGGGCTATTTGTCAACTCATTGTGGATGTGTCTTCCGCATGCCAAAAGCAGGCGAAGGACCAGGTTTTTGAACAACGCTTGAGGGTAATTGGGATACCGCTCAAAGACCTTCGACTGTCACAGCTTTTGAGCACTAGCTGCCTGGGAGCCCCTAGTAGCATCCCTCCTCCTAGGGTGGCAAGGCATCCAGTTCCCGTTTCGCCATGGCCAAGTTCCTTTTGCTTGCATGTCTTGGCGCGGCCGCAAGCCTCGACCAGTGTGTCTCATCAAACGAAGAATGCCAAGCCTTGGGAGTCGGATGCACGTCGAGCATTTGCATTGGCGGCTCGTGCGATTGTACCAACAACGGCGTTGATTGCTGTTCGAGTGTCAGCACAAGCAGCGGGACAAGTGGAGGCACCGTGCAATGCAGCACAGTCACCAGCTATAGCCTTTGTGAAGAAGTCTGCGGCACTGGAGGTACCGTGACTCAGTGGCAAGCCACGAACAATGTCTACGAATGCACCAGGGATGGAGTTTCATGCTGCCAAGCAGACGAAGCGGATGCAGCTTTGCCTTGGAAGATCCCAATCGCGATCATGGTGGCGCCACTCATGGCAGCATAATTCGTGAGGTTTGATGTCAGGGGTCCCTGTATTTCCCTTCAAACAGGGAGCCCTTTGCGTGGTTTTCATGTTTCGGATGCTCTCATCTGCTTTCTGATCGAATGCCCCCTTTGTTTAGACATCAATTTGGCTCGTTCGTACATCGACTTGCCGAATTTGGCTTCGATCCTTCTGCGGAAAAATGAGACAAAGCAGAGTCTTGATAGCTCTTAATGGAGCTCCAGGTCGCGTTTCAAGGCTAGGACGCTACTAGGGGCTCCCGGAGCAAGGACGCTACTAGGAGCAAAGGGCATCGCTACTAGGAGCAAGGACGCTACTAGGCCTTTTAACTCACTGGGGCCAGGCTGCAAACAAGGCTCTTCAGGGCTTCCTTGCCTTGACAGTCTTGAACTCTTCGTGTTGATGTTGCTATGACTAAGAGAAACATCCAGATTCAATCATACAAGGAAACACCTTCCTCACTGACCCCACTGAGAACGCAGTATCTCTGAAAGATGAAAAAGAAGCAAGCTCGTGCAAGACACACGGTGGGTGGGTGAGGGCTAGAAACGTGTTTTGCACGCCTGGTCGTAGTCCTGATGGATTGGGGGGGGCTACTAGGAGCAAAGGGCATCGCTACTACTAGGGGCTCCTGGCATCGCTACTAGGAACAAGGACGCTACTAGTAACAAGTGCCACGCTTCTAGTAACAAGTGCCTTACTAGTAGTAACAAGAAGCTACTAGGAGCGACCCGCTTTGGGGGGGGCTGACTTCGCATCCGAGCGATCAGCCGGTCCCTGCTTCTGGGCGCCGCAGGCGCGACGCTTGGAAGAACGGATGCAGGAGGAACGGGCGAAGAACGAGGCCCCACAGGTGGGCTCTGACACGGAAACGTTCTGTCAAAGAAAGGAGCTACTAGGAGCAAGGACGCTGGTAGGGGCTCCTGGCATCGCTACTAGGAGCAAGAACGCTACTGGATGGAAGAGGTCAAAGATGCCTTAAGACAAGAAAGGACAAAAACAGAAAAGGAACAGGAAGAGACGGGTTTCTGTTGTGAAAGGCCATCGATGTTCAAGTCCCCCACTTGTGGCAGAGCATTCGTTTCTATTGGCCAACGGACTGACTTCCCTCGCAGGAGAAGAATCCTCGAAGCCCCAATGCTCAAATGAGAGAGAAGATGGCCGAGGCGCCGCGCGGCGCGTCGAGAGATCGACGAAGCCACCGACTGGTGGAGATTCCAGAGGTCTACGGAACATGACACAGAACATAGTAAGGCCTCCCACCCTAGTAGAAAATAGTGAGAAACGGGCCTTGAAGAAAAAGCGGCTGTGTTATTTTCGGCCATGTACCAAGTGCTCAAGCCATGTATGCGAAGTCCGGAATCCATGGCATGGTTATCTCAAAACATCACTTTACCGGGCATCGCTACTAGTAACAAGAAGCTACTGGGGGGTCCTGGCCTTACTACTAGGAGCAAGGACGCTACTAGGGGCTCCTGGCCTTACTACTAGGAGCAAGGACGCTACTAGGGGCTCCTGGCATCGCTACTAG